AGTCACTTCTCTTCCCTGGGTGAAATCTGCTGTCTGACTTCTAAAGACCCAGCTTTTGTAACGAGCTTTGCCCAAAGGACATGAGGAAAACAGCATTTACCCTGAAGTCCAAAGACAGAGCCTATTTCACCGTAGTCCTTCTGGCACATAAATTACGACTGTGGCTTCCCCATTTTCCACCATTCCAGATACCCGCTTGCCACATCCGCACAAATGAACCAATGTTCTCTCCTGTCCCTTGCTCATCTATTTACACCCAAAGCAGTCCGCATTGCAAGAGACTATGTAAAGATCTAGGACCATCAGAGCCTTTTGGTGAGACTTTACTGTCACAGACTCTCACCCCAGACCCACTGTGCTTCAGCGAACAGACAGCTAGTAAGTCAGTGCTACATGCAGGAAGAATTTAGCTCATAAATTTCACTTTGCCCCTGGTCGCAACAGATCTTTTGACAAAAAGAATGTTGCAAAAACTGCAAAAAAAAAGCACATTTTCACACCCTTATCTGACATGAACTTTCTCTGCATACATTTTAAATTAGCAAGGTAGTACACTTGTGACAGACAAAGCAATTCATGTACATGTGAACTAATTCTCTGGTAAGCAAGCTGAGTACTACATGAATAGTCTGGTCTGTATGTTAGAACTTCCAAAGCCAAATTCTATTTACCCATGTTATTATGGGGAAGGAGCCGGGGGGAATCTCCTCTGTGTCTTCTGTTAGTGAGCAAGGTTCTGAAAACGACCGGTTCAGATAAATACGTTTTAGCTTTTCTGCCCTGTTAAACTCTCGGGACAATGTATTTTGATAAAAGAATTCCATTTTATTAATAGCAATTTGCTCCATTTTTAAATAGCAAATATGTTTAAATTACATTTATCGGGTGATTTTTCAGATTGAACAAAATGTTAAGACTGGTATTGACAGTAGAACAGTGATATATTACGAAGATGCAAGCATAAATATTGAAAGAGAAAAAAAAAAAAAAAAGATAAAAAATAGTTTCCAGCACCAGCATTGAAAATAACCGGATGTACATAACATTGTTCCTCAACACATCTGTTGAGGTAAATGAGATTCCAACAGAGCCTATGAGCCGGATTTCAGCAGAATCGCGTGCAGAAGGCCCAGCCTGGAACCTAAGACAACGCAGCCACAGTACAGCTCTTCTTAACAGAACAATGACAAGCTATTTCCATCATTTCTAGTATGACTGCTAACACTTCATTTGTTTCATTTTTAAAGAAAATTGTGGAAGGATGAATATGAACTCTAACTCTAATTCTACCTTTAACCGTACAGTCGTGGCTATACTACATTGCTCATTATTTGTAATATGAAATGAACAGAATAATGGGATAATAGAAAAATGTAATACGAAACAAATCTGACAGCATTAAGGGCAGTATATTGTTTGTAAGGCAATATATGGAATAAATTGGTTGTTCACTTTTGGGGCCTACGGTATTTCCCGCTCTGCCTCATTCACCTCTTTGCAAGTGTTCCCACAGTTTGCGCTCCACATCTTGAATTTGAAAGGGTCTGATTCAGCTACTTTCAGCACCAAATCCGCGCTACAAAAGTCTCCTCAACATGGAATCCAACACCAAACACAGAACTCGAAAAATCCATCCGAACCCTCTGTCTTTGAATGGGCACACACTAAACAGATCACAGATTTTCCTCGACTTCGTTATAACCGTGACAAATGAAGGGCAGGGAAGTCACAGTCTCAGAGACCTGCGATACGTTTTGAAATGTCTCCATCGCACGGAAAAAAAAGTTTACAAAAACCTGTGCTTTCCCAACTAGTAACAGTTGAGCCTTTTATGGCTGTTCTCCTGGCATGGGATTTGATTAGCAAGTACAAAGATTTAGACAGAGATTTATTAAGTAACAGTTATATTGTGTTGTAATTAAAACGTAGGAAATTCGCCGTCTACTTAAGCGTTTAAAAATGCTTAATGTAGGAAGCAATTACACCTCATTTTCAAATTATTCCCCTGCCTACAGAGCACGCTGCGGACTGGGGAAAACGCGGCTTTAAGGGCGGTGGCGGCGGGACGTGCCCGCTCCCAGGGCCCGGGGCGGCCCGGCCGGGGGCGGCGGAGGCTCGGGGCCGGGACGGGGGTTGGGGGGGGGGTAGAGTCCCGGTGGGCGGCGCGGCGGAGTCCGG